TCGGAAAAAATTAATTTTTAACGACCACTCTAATGTATATGTATCCGTGATAAAAGTAATTTTATAAAAGTTAACATTTTAGTACATGTGGAATGTGACAATAGTAGTTTGTGCAACAAGAGTGGATATGATGGCCATATCGCACGAAATTGTCTGAGTGCGATGTGGAAAATCCACTCGAATTGGACAGTATATTTTTTCTACGACCCACTAACGAAAAATTAAAAATAAAAGACATTTTTGGTTATTAAGACAAAACAACTAATTTTAAAATAATTTATGACTTTTAATGATTTTAAAATAAAATTTAATACACTCACCATTTGCCTAGCGGCAGATATGGAAATTTTTTTTAATTCTCGTAATTGAACGGACTTCATAGTTTTATTAAAATTAACAAATTATTTATAATTATAGTATAAATAAAAATAGAAATGCTATTATTTATCGATTCTACACAAAACTAAGTAATTTTAATGTATATTTATGTTCAATAACTAAAAAATATACTGACAATTAGTTTGACAGAATAGTAAAGGAGCAACACGGGTTCTGCCTCATTCCCCATGTTAATTCCCATAAGAAATCGCTAAGGTTCATTCTGCACTTTTTTGTCCATATCAAGGTCATTCGTCTTGACGTCCAACTGTTGCCAACTGTGATAACGTCAAACGTCAAAGACTTATTATATTTATTGATTATAAGAGGTTTGTGAATACTGATTGAGCATTTTTTAATAGTTTAAAAAAAGGGACCCTACATTTCAAAGAACAATCATCGTATCTCCTTATTCAAACCTGCTAAACTATATGCGATTTTATGAAGAGGTACAGTAAAATAAGCTACTAATATTGTTACAACTTGTGTAAGATAATAATTATCCGAATATTTAATATTATTTTTTAAAAATCATGATGAAACCGAATGTATCGATTTATTTTTAATATACAGTATGGTTCAAATGAAAGGAATAAATTCATTATAATGGAAGTAGTTGGTTTTTTGAAAAAATGCTCGGACAGGTCAATTTTGTTTACTCAAAGCGCAATTTTTTAAATAGAATTCAATTTTCCCCCACCTCCCATTTTTGGACAGTGACGTCATTGACAATTTTTTTAAATAGTAACCCCAATTTTTTTTTCTTGATTTTAATAGATCTTGCAATTTCCTACTCGGAAACATAATATTTGAAATATCTTACATAACATTTTTTTTGAATAAAAGTCATTTAAAGATTAGACACATAAATTTTATTTTACTTTGAGAACACAATAAATGAATATAAGATAATTATTTATAATTAAGTGCTTAATCTAACAAAATAATAATAATAATAATAATAATAATAATAATAATAATAATAATAATAATAATAATAATAATAATAATAATAATAATAATAATAATAATAATAATAATAATAATAATAATAATAATAATAATAATAATAATAATAATAATAATAATAATAATAATAATAATAATAATAATAATAATAATAATAATAATAATAATAATAATAATAATAATAATAATAATAATAATAATAATAATAATAATAATAATAATAATAATAATAATAATAATAATAATAATAATAATAATAATAATAATAATAATAATAATAATAATAATAATAATAATAATAATAATAATAATAATAATAATAATAATAATAATAATAATAATAATAATAATAATAATAATAATAATAATAATAATAATAATAATAATAATAATAATAATAATAATAATAATAATAATAATAATAATAATAATAATAATAATAATAATAATAATAATAATAATAATAATAATAATAATAATAATAATAATAATAATAATAATAATAATAATAATAATAATAATAATAATAATAATAATAATAATAATAATAATAATAATAATAATAATAATAATAATAATAATAATAATAATAATAATAATAATAATAATAATAATAATAAAAAAGAATTTGTGAAATTGGCATTAAATTCTTTTTATTATTATTATTCTTTTAGATGAAGCACAATTACAAAAAATCTTTTATTCATTTATTGTGTTTCAAAATAAAATAAAATTTATGTATCTGATCTTTAAGTGACTTTTATTCAAAAAAAAATTTATGTCAGATATTTCAAATATTATGTTTCCGAGTAGGAAATTGCAAAATCTTTCAAAATCAAGAAAAAAAAATTGGGGTTACTATTTAAAAAAATTGTCAATGACGTCACTGCCCAAAAACGGGAAGTGGGGGAAAATTGAATTCTATTTTTTAAAAAATTGCGCTTTGAGTAATCAAAATTAACCTGTCCGAGCATTTTTTTGAAAAACCAACTACTTCCATTATAATGAATTTATTCCTTTCATTTGAACCATACTGTAATGTATACATTTAAATAAAACAAAGGGTACATTTTCTATGATTAATTTTTATTAATTTAATAATAGGTATAGTTAGGTAACCATGTGGGTACTCATAAGCTGCTCTTATATACACTAATAATATAATGAACAGTGTAAAAATAAAAAAGCAACAGATCAAATTAAACACAGTCGTCATACAAATTGTATGGATATCAAAATATATTACAAGATCTTCAATTACTATGGTTATCAGATCCTGCAGGTAAGTATCGCTTGTTTGTAGGTATGGTGAAAATGACAGATACAATGATTAAGAATTTTGTAGGTAATTTCTGACGAGCACAAATATTGTATGGTGTTTATATCATGGAGATACAATTTTTGTGAATTTTGGACGGTAATTTCTAACAGCCACAAATATTATATGGTGCTTAACAAATGTACACTAGAAAGTGTAATTAAATGCCTTAATTCCCAATTTTTAATTTGTATTGTAGTTTGGTGGGTGTTGGAGCTACAATGTTTGTGCCCAATAAAGAAGGCTAAAAAGCGATTTAATTGGTACCAAGATCGTCATAACATTAAATTTGGAGTTACAATATGTGTGCTTTAGATCGACGACATATCGCACAACAATGGATAATTGACTTAAGTTTGCTACATCTGTGGTTTCATCAAGCGCAACTGATACGAAAGGTGCTTTTTTAATTTCACTTTTAATGTGATCCATCACAACGTCGGCAGTGCATTTAATTAAATCATTTTAGATTCTGTTTGAGGTACCTCGGAAAGTCGACGAATCAATAAAATTATTTTTTAGGGTATCATCGTATTTTGCTAAAAAAACTTAGAAGGTCCATGTAATTTATTCGATTGGCGGATCCACTTGCTTCATTGTGACCCCTAAAACTTAGTTCATACCCTTTCATTGTGAATTTTGTTGCTTATTTTTAAATAATTGTCCAAACTATGTTCAATGCGATAGGTCCCGAATGTTTTTTCTTTAATTGTGGCACTTATATGAGATTTGCTATTTACATGTCGTTTTACACTTTTGTGAAAATTATTTAAGTCTGTAATACCGACTGAGTTGCAATGTATTTTTTTGGCTATATTAAAAGGTAGGCAAGGCCAGCAAAACAATTTCTTCAAAGTTTTGCAGACGGTTAACCATTCATACTTTTCATAGAACCCTACTTGAAAATGCCTGGTAAATTTATTTGCTGACTTTTCTACTTCGTCTTTAAATTGATAGGATCTTTTAGCCTACTAGAATTAATAATGTCCGTTTTCTCTTCAAAATTTTTACTTGAAAATCCCTTTTTCAATAAAGAGCACACAATATAGACATAATTTACCACATTATTATTATTGTTCACAGGCACGGTGCATATTTCCTCCATTTTTCAAAAAGAAAAACAACTACGAAAAACAAACCGAAATCTATCTGAAGTCTACGATGTCGATTCGCGGTGCGAATTGTAATATGCGTAAGGCGACGTAAAAATCGCTGCCTCTCGACCATATTTCATGAGTCCAAACTGACTGACTACTGTCGCGGCCAAGCAAGGTCAATAACACGAAGCGAAATCAATTGGAAGATGAGCCGGCTTTTTCAAGACGCGCTTCCGCCGACGGACTCGAAGTATATGGTGTGTGCGTTTACCCAATTAATTATCTCATGGGTGGTGCGTGCGTTTACATATTACACCAATGAATTGTTAGTACATTTACGAAGTTTACGTAATGTTTCTGAGAAAATATAGTACCTAATTTAATATTAATTTCTATGCATTGTAAACAGAAAAATATTTATTTTTAAATCTCAAAGTGTAGGGAAGCGGTGCTTCCCCCGCTTCCATGGACCGCACGCCCCTGCGCAGTAGTTAAAAAGCGTTCGCAGAACAAAAAGAACTGAACTATTGGTTCTATTCTGCGTTCGCGGTAAAATTATTTATGGTTTTGAACTGCTTATCTATACCTGAAGCACCGAGATATAATAGGGATTGCGCGCGTGGTAAAAATTCAGAATTGATAATGAATCAGGCATGCCCTCTTAGTATGAATTAGTAATTCTGAACCAGTTCAGGATTGTTACCGCGAACGAAGCTAATAGTGGTCGGGTGATCAAAATATGAACTGCGATTGGTGGATTTAATTTTTTTGCAGTGTTTTCACTACATAGAATGGATATAAAATATATTCGTTCAGTTAATGGCAATAGTATAATTTTTCGTATTGTAATCTGTGCGTAGATAAGAGCTAATATCCATGTGGTTGTAGAAAAAAACGTTTTTTTTATATTACTATGGATAGTTATTCCTATTGTTTCAACATTCTAAGATGGATATCAATAGATTTAATCCATTGCGTATCAAACCAATAACAGAACGTACTTTCTCCTGATCAGTGTTCTAGTGGAGCAATTTTAGTGATATGTCATTTCTATATCTCAATAATAATAGTTTTCTCAACTTTTAAGGTAAAGTTCACTTTGCTCTATATTTTTAATACACTTGTAAGGTTTTTATTTGACCCTGCCTCAAAGAAAAATGTAAAAATTTTTCTGTTACTACACAAAGACCATATCTCTTTTATCTAACATTAATTTATACAAGTATAAAAAATTTTATGTCTGCAATCATTTATATCTACTTTTGTTGTAATTATAACACTTACATCTATAAAGGTAAAAAATTACAGGTAATTATATAAACACTGTCAAACATTCGATGCCTTCGATGTATGGAGTGATTCACAAAAAAAGATTTCCAAAGTAGGCCCTGAAAAAATTAACACATATCTTAGCCAACAATAATTCTTAATTTTATTTTTTTAGTGTCAGTTTAGAAATATTTTATGTGGATCACTTTTTAATATACATTAAAACTACTTGATTTAAAAACTATTGTTTGAAACGTTTGATTCCCCTTTTGTATTTCTGGTGTATTTAGGCTATTGTATCCGGAGGATTATATCACACTGCTGTTGATCTTTTACAACTGGTTTTACTTCCAGTCAAACTGCTACTGTGAGTACCCTGAAATGTAAAAGTACATAATCATTTACTTTTGCAATTTAATACGAGGACCATATACATGGATTTAAAGAAATTACAATTTTAATTTTTTGTCCGATATTTTGAATCTTCCTGTAGATATCAAATGTTTCTTGGCACAATTTTAATAAGCACAAAACTCTGCTGCAACTCTTTTTTGTCTAATCAACTTTCTATCTGTTACCGTTTAAGAAATATCAATACCCTATGAAATAGTAGGAACTCCTTATAACAAAATATAAAAAATGGACAAGTAAACTACATTTGAAATGAAATTTGTACGAACAATGTAATATATCTTCGATGTGATGTAGTTTCAATTATGCGATTTAGAATATAGCCATGTTGGCACATGATAAAAGAAGCAGCCCATATATGATAACATATTTCAAATAAAAAGAGTGTGGAAATTCTTTATTTTTCATTCGTTCATTTCGTATTCTAAATGCTTTTTGATTGGATGGACTGTACTCACTCAAGTGTAGTTTATCGGATTTCAGACACTTGCTCAGTATTGATGAGATTCCACCTTATATTTTGACCGGAAAAATATCTATCTTTACTGGAAAGTTATGTGAGGAACATATCAGATATTTTTAAATTAAAATATACTCAAAAATTTGGGTATTATTGGGTAAAAAACAAACTGTTTTTTGCTTATAAATTATTCCCAGGGAAAATTCAAGTTGGTTATGTTCAGATTCATATTCAGCACCATCAAAAACAGTATACCTAACTAGGTACAAGCCACTGAAAAATGATTTTCCGTTTTGGGCAAGAAATCCGTGCACTGTATAAGTATAACTGAATTAATTAGTAAAAACTATAAATGGAAAATGGAGAGCTAAAATATAAGTTTGCACAATGATGGCATCCACGGAGTGGCACATTAAAAAAAATCCATATTTCTTGAGAAATACCTGACATTTTTCACGATTATACTTACTCTATAACTTAATATTCTCTTGGTGCTTCCCCCAATTGGAAAGACCCCAAAACTGAGGCTAAATCCAGATTCGGAGGCTGTATGCTGTGGATCAGATTTCCTTCGACAGCACGAACGGAACATTTTTCTTATCTGATAAATAATACAAAATAATTATCCATAAAAAATAAAAACATCTTTGACTAGTTTTTTACCTGTTTTTTGAACACCGTTGTTGTTAAAGTATACAGCACTGGATTTAATGCTGAATTTATGGGTAGTACAAAAATGGCTAACCATGCGTAAAGATCTTGAGGTATCGGCAAACCTGAAATTAAAATAGTTTTAGTTGTCCTTGAATATAAGCGTATTTTTTAAATTGGTTAAATTCAAATTACATATTCGTTAATTAAATTTATCGCCAACCGTCAATAGAGACATCCGTGAATTACCAAACGCTTTACCTTACTGTAAAAATCAAACACTTTACCTGCGCATGCTGCTAACGCGGCAGGTAAAGTAAATAACTATTAAGTAATAGATATCCATTTAGCCTTAGCCACACATACTTTGATTTTCTTTTACTATACGGAGAATGGTCGCACTGCGCAGCTTTCTGAGTGCCTTTTAAAAGGAGATAGAAAACTCCGCCATTTTGAACCCTTATTACGTGTTGCCTACATCTTGGCGCAATATTTTTAATAGGTGCGTTTTAATCATCCGCCTCTGCTTCGGAATTGTCGGTTTTCTTGTTTTAATCTGACAGGTTAGAATGACTGAACCGACAATTCCGGAAGCAGAAGCGGATGATTAATAGCATTTTCGACTGGCGAAACTGGTGCGCACTTTTTAACACTCGGTGCAAAATTTGTTTTCGACTCGTAAGAGTAGTGCGAACCGGGTCAGTTTTTGAATTTTCGGTCGGAATCAGTTTAACTCAAAAAAATAAACCGGTGCGCACTTTTATGAACCGAGTGTAGAGACAATTTTTCAGTTTCAGTTCAGTCGTAACAAATATGGCGATGGCAAATGAAGAGTTGTTTCTAAAATATAAAATTTTTAGAATTTGTAAAGAAATATTGGAAACTTCTTCATCAGATTCAGACAAAGAAGATTTAATTAAGGCCAAGTTTAATAGACTTGCCAAAAATAAAAGATTACATTGAATCGGTGGTGTCGCACCTGGATGACTCCCAGGTAGGTACCATAAATATTGTTAATGCATAGTATACTTTGACATCTTAAGAACTTAAACATATGTAAGTTTATGTTAATATGTCGATAAAATATTCTGTAACAATATTAAATAAATGTTTAAAATGAGAGCTTGGCTTGGATCTTGTTTGGAATTTGGAAGGTACTACTTTTATTTATCACTCAGATGATAGCTGTCAAATTCAATACAACGCACTGGGTGGTCAACTGCGTGTTCGGTTGGAATAAGCTTGCATGACGTCACTAAATTGAACCAGTGCTGAGCAACGAAAACTCGCACTTCACGAGTATGAACTGAGTGTGACCAGTCGAAAACGCTATAAAACGCACCTGATATTTTGCTTGCTGCTGTCAGTGTCAGTGAATATTATTTTTGGAGTCACAGTTTATTGCTAAAGAATCAGTTAGCTCACTCGGACCAGTTGAAAGTTCTAAAATAACATCCACTCCAGGGATACAAATTCAGGATACGCAGAAGACTGCTGTTTTATTATAGGCGGTTGTCATATATTGTATTATCTGAGTTGCGCAGTGTATAAACTGGAACATTGAGATAAAAAGTGCCGACGCAGAGTGAGCGATCTGATTCTTTAGCTATAAACTGTGTTATAGGGTTCAAAATGGCCACGCCCTATGTTGGGCGTGTCGGACCTCTCTCTTGCCCCGTATAGTAATCAAAGTATGTGCTTAGCCATGACTGTATGACATGACGCAAAATAGTGTTTGTCGTCTCCACTTCATTCTATCTCGATGGTTGGGTGGCTGAATACACTCGCGTATCGGGGACAACGCTAATCATTTGTAGTACGCATGTCGTATGCGTTTAATTTGTACATTGGTCTCTTTTTGACAGAGTAGGCGAGCTGCGTCTAGGCCGTTGGTATTTATGCCGGTCGGCGTAGCCAGGTATGGATTGAAATTTCTACGAGAAGTCGTTGCTTCGTCTTTCTTGTTGTCACGTCATTATTATTATTTGTTCATGTTTGTTAAATTAGCTTCTAAATTTTATAAAATACTACTGCTAGTCACGGCGTAAATGAAAACAAAAAAGACGCATTCATACAAACACCTCCCACCACAGCAATTACAAATGATTAGTGTTGTCCTAGATATGCGAGTAGCTGAATATCCAAAGAAATATTACCAATTGCCTCTGCGGATGAGGCCAAGGGGAAAAGAAAAACGCGGGGGAAAAATTAATAGAGCGTCGTACGCAAAAGCTGTGCTGTTTTAACTTTGTTCTTATTGTGACCTATTGCGTTTCTTTGTCTTCTATGAATAATACTTGTTCGATGTCTTAGGATTTCTTTTTTTATTGAACTCGAGGTTAATGAGAAAACTGACAATAGCTATATTGGTTAAAAGTAAAAAAAATATTTAATGGAATGTAACTAATTGTTTTTATCGTAGTTTTAGAATAATACAATCTTGAAAATTTTAGAAATGGATTCTAAATTGACGCGTAATCTGTACTAACATTATTATTATTTATATTTTATCTAAGGACTAAAAGAAAGAACCTGCTTACCTGAAAGGGCTACCAATTTTACTAAAATGACAGGTACCCAACAGAGACTATCAGTAAACACGATGATACCAAATCTTTGCGCAACTTTATCGGTATCTTGACTTTGTCTTGTCGATCTGCATGCAACGCCACTGGACTTAATTTCATTTATCATCCTCAGGTAAGCGTAACAGATGAAAACCAAAGCCAATGTGTTGATTAGAATAAACATTGCAGCTGAGTACTGCCATCCCTGAAAAGTTAAATATAATTATTTATTGTTTCATGCGAACTCCGTTTGACGAAGTACTTTATTGTAACATTTTAAATGTATGTCAATGTTAATACCTACAGTACCTACACCTACTCATTATATTAAATGTCCAAAGACGATGTAGATAAAATAATATTAAATATATACACTCTGCACAAAAATTAGCGCATCACTATTAAAAGTGAAAAAAAGTTTTTCTTTATTTGATTTTTCGATATATTTAAGTATTGGGACATCCTGTATATTAGTTTTTTTATGTGTAAATGTTTTTGTAAAATAAATACTAATACTCTGAAATTGCAACCAACTCTCGCGATTAGTTGCTTTCAATATTTAGTAAAGTTAACTTGGTTTTTATGGTATTTTGAAAATTGTTGAAATTAATAATCCTGACCGCCAGAGCAGAAATTTGGGACATGACGAAGTGGTTAGAATCATTACATTACTTGAAGCAGGGCCGGCCTCAGGGTAGGGCGATCCGGGCGGCCGCCCGGAGCTCAATGATCTAGGGGCGCCAAAATCATGGAAAATGAAAATAAACTGATAAAAAAATTAAGTTACAGGCTTTTATAAAATGCACTAAAATGTAAAGAATATTTTTTATCATTCTGATATCATATCAATAAATTATTTTTCATAATATTGCATTGTCATCGGACCCTTGTAAGTATACCAAATTTCATTGAAATCGGTTTACGGGAATTTTCTCAAAAACGCATTGCAAGATTTGACTGATAGTTGACAAGATTAAGAGGTGGCAGGCGGAATTTATCATTTTTATTTCTAAGCACATAATTCAAATAATATATTTAAACATTAAGGCAAAATCTAGTTGAATTCAATTCAACATAACAAAACCACTGAACTACCGCCTTTCAAGAATTGACAAGTTTTTCGGCCCGTGGCAACACGACTTGTACAGGAAACAACAATTTTGAAACCAAGCAAAACAAGCTCTTACAGCCCTTTTTAACTGCATCTAAAAAGGAAGTAGACTTAAAACAATGAATTATTTGCCACTAGACTTCGACTGGTGCGAAATAAAATAGATTGTTTAAATTGTTAGTGCAAAAAGCTTTAAAAAAGTGCTTGTGCAAATTGTCCAGTGCGTTTGGCTTCTGTGAAGGTAAGTGATTTAATTTTTGTTTTCATTTTTAAAAACTAAAAAAATCCATCAGACATACGCCCAAAAAAGGGTGGGGAGGCGGGGTAGATTTAAAAAATTAGAGTTTATATCACAATATGGCTTGTGTGGTACCAAATAAAACGTAATTGAGTCTGAAGTTGAATAAAATGCATTTCATTTTTTTAAGCCGGTGGTGCACAAGGGGGATTTCAAAAATTAGAGTTTATATCAAAAAATGGCTTGTGTGGTATCAAATGAAAGGTAATTGAGTCTGGAGATGAATGAAATACATTTTTTTTAAGTCAGTGACGCATATCAATAATCGGCTGAGAAAAACTTAGTAAAACAAAACTAAGTTTGAAAATAACTACCTATTCAAAAATAAATACCACTGAGTTAAAAATAAAGCTATCTAGTGACTTTTTCAAGTTATTTTAATATCTTCCTGTGCTTAGAACTTTATAGATATATTTATCTTAAAATTTAATATTATTTCTGTACACCAAGAGGTCTTTTTAGTAATTATTGATACGTACCTACAATTCAATTAATTTCTAATTAAATTGATAGTGTAATTGATATAAAGTTAGGTTATGTCATATTTTTACTGTATTTAAAATATAAAAAAATAGTTTCTAATTATTTTATTAACATATTTGTTATTGGTACATTTAAATCTACTATTTTAGGGAGTTAAGTTGTTAGCAAATGCCAGGCTGTGCAGTGTTTGGCTACAAGAATTATCCTAGACGTAACATCTTCTTCATGTTTTGTGGTGGAAGAATTCAGTTTCAAATAAACATTATCTTGTTAATCCTCAAGAGAAACGCATACCAAAACTGATGTAATTTAAATATTTAAATTGGAAATACATTATCTAGTTTTTGAATATAAAAGAGCAGGAAATATATTTTTATTTGGCATTTCTTATTTTGCACAAGGGTCCAATTATCTGTCTATAGTGACTTTTCTTATACTTTTCTGGCATTGATCAAAACTTATGTGTGATTTATCAGTTATTTTCATTTAAATATATATTTTCAGTTTTATAATGATTATAGAACTAGGAAATAAAAGAGTAACATCTTGACAATCATTACAAAATGTAAACAAACCCATGGCAGTCTATTATGCATTCCAAACAAATGAATTGCCAGTGGGAAGGTTTGGTATATCTAAGGGTGACGACATACGGTGTATTCTATCTACTTTACGTAAAATCATGAATAATCGATAACATTTAAATATTTTATGTCAAACACAATAAAAATAATATTTAAAAACCCACCTATACATTTCTTCATAAATTGGTAGGCTACTACTTCAAAAAAAAATATCGTCCAAGTTGCAAGATTATGTCGCTACCCCCTTAGATATACAAGAATTTCTCACTGGCACCTATTGTTTGACAGGTCGTTGGAATGCCTAATAGGCGTCCGTGACAATACCAATGTTGACGTCATAAAACCTGCGCACCGCTTCACCTATATACTTACACCATGGTAAATACAGGATCATCGTCAGAGGAATCCGATTTAGAATAAAGTGATCTAAATACTGATATATCTGTGTTAACCTCATTTGATACAGAATAAAAAATTTTAACTTTTAGTATTGATTATTTCTCTTAAGATTAAAAACAGTTTCAAGTTGTTTGGTTTAAAAAACAATTCCTATGTTTAATAATATCAACACGCCACTGGTCCAAAGTAGACGGTTCCATCAACAACTGACTCCACAAACTTATGACGCACCTGTGTTATTCTAATCGTAATCGGACCATACCTGATATGTCCTTTAAACCCCATAATAAAACATGTCCTGCGTTTAGTAAATAAATATTTCCAAATGTTTGTGTAGCAACCAGATAGATGAAGATTTCCAACGAATTAGTCACAAACACATGATAAATATTATATTTATTACGAAAGCACACAAACTAAAGTTAAAATTACACTAAATGAAACTCAAAAACACTATTATAATGTGAATATTATTTAGAAACAGTTAAAAAATCACAAATACGAAATCCCGCCCAAAGCAAACACAATGTAAATAAACAAATATCCTACTTATAAGTGACAAATGACAGGCCCGCGAAAATTAATTTAAATCGCGAATAAGTGGAGAAAAATAGTTAATATTTATGTATTTTTTACTTAAAAGGATAAACAAACATCTTTAACTATAGAAGACAGATACTAATGTTACAATAAAGTTTCTTCTTAGAAAATAATAAACGTACCATTGCATAGGGTTCGTGTATATGCAAAGATAAACAAACTCCATTGTTTCCATAAAACTCATCTCCGAAGTAGCCCCTGGTTATATCGCTGAGCGGAGCGAGCGAAATGACTGTTGAAAAACTCCATAACGTGATGAGAGTAATTACGGCAACTTTTTTCGATGGCTGTTTTCTCACAAGTGGTTGAGTAACTGATATAAATCTATCCCAAGTCACCAGTGTCAAAATCAAAACTGACGATTCACATGACAACGTGCTCAGGAAACCTAAAACAGAAATCGTATAAATGGGCACGTACGTCGTATATAATCAATATCTACAGGGTATACAATTCTTGAAGAAAGTTATGTAAGAGTTATTAAAAAAAAAATGATTATGAAAATTGGTGTGGTAATTATTTTGAGAATTACAAGAAGAGAGAAAACTAAGTAAGTTCTTAAAAGTTACAATTCAAAAAAATAAGTTCAGAGTTTTTGAAACTTTGATAGTCAAAGAATTTGTTCTAAACCGCTTTTATAATATTTATTTTAGATTGCTACTGTTACAATTATACGATTAAAATTAAAATGTATGTTATAGTTTCTCTATAAAAATTTCAAGTTGTTTAAATTTCAATGGATTTTATTTGAAGAATTTTAAGTTTTCATATTGCCACATCACACATAAACGAAACACACATAGATAATGATATATTTTTGCTAGAATATAATAATATACTGTATTTTTTAAACTACGAAACATCTTTGGAAAATTTTCTTAAATAGGTACCGGCGGATTTTTTCAGAGAGGATACGATATGTGTTCTTTTTTATACGACATTGTTTAAGGGCTCTCAAGTTATTAATGTTATTGATGACATCAATTTAGTCACGTGGTATATAGATAGGTATTGTTGAAGACAATCCCTTTACAATTTTAACAACAAAGAAAATTTTGTAAAGAAAAACAGTGTGTTAAAAAAATAATTAATTTATAATAGGTGTAAAAAATGTCGTTTATCTCTCGTTCACCTTTGGTGTTATTAGTTTTTTGTTTTATTCTTTATTTTTATTTTTCGCCAATTATTGATTAGAAATAGTATAAAAAATAGGAATCTCTTAATTTAAATTAAGATTAATCTCAATTTTCTTATTCTTCTTACATAGGGTTTGCCTATTTTATATAAAAAACTCTAAAAAAAAGACAAATTTGTATTTTTGTATAAAAATCGTAATTATATCAACGTACTGTAGGTAATTACGAGGCATAAGTGTGTATAAAAGTCATTAAAATAAAAAACTTTTTCAAAAAAGTGCAAAAATTAAAAGATTTAATTGTATCCAATATGATCTTGTAAACAATGTGTTCAAAATTTTCTATATTGACTGTATTGAAATACAAAGTAATTCACTGTTCATTCTGTACAACACACCGATTAAGCACTTTGAAGATACCTGCTATAAATAAGCAGCATATATTTTCAAGTTGATTGTTTCATATAAATATTCTACTGAAAAGTGAACAGCTCACTATATTAACATTGACCGGTAAGGGTGTCATTCACGATAAAAAAGCTAACAAAAAGATATAAACGTAAACATTTAGCTCAATTTTTGATACACAAATCCAGTCCCTGATTTAAATTTTTTAATTCTAGCTTTTTATTTTTGAGTGTTTTTAAAAGTGATTTGAAACATATATTTACTATAACGACTTGTATACTTAGTTAAAAATGTATCATATTAGGATTCACCCTGTATAATAAATAATTGTTTTATAACGACTAGAGTTTTATAATATGATCTCAAACTATCTTTCCATTTTATGTTTTTGTTATGGTTTGTTGTTTCGTTGTTTTTGTTACGTTTTTGTTGTTTTTGTTATGATTTTGTTATGTTTTTTTAGGTTTTTGTTATGTTTTTGTTATGTTTTTGTTATGTTTTTGTTATATTTTTGTTATGTTTTTGTTATGTTGCTGTTATGTTTCTGTTATGTTTCTGTTATGTTTTTTGTTATGTTTTTGTTCTGTTTTTGTTCTGTTTTTGTTCTGTTTTTGTTGTTTTTGTTATGTTTTTGTTATGTTTTTGTTATGTTTTTGTTATGTTTTTGTTATGTTTTTGTTATGTTTTTGTTATGTTTTTGTTATGTTTTTGTTATGTTTTTGTTATGTTTTTGTTATGTTTTTGTTATGTTTTTGTTATGTTTTTGTTATGTTTTTGTTATGTTTTTGTTATGTTTTTGTTATGTTTTTGTTATGTTTTTGTTATGTTTTTGTTATGTTTTTGTTATGTTTTTGTTATGTTTTTGTTATGTTTTTGTTATGTTTTTGTTATGTTTTTGTTATGTTTTTGTTATGTTTTTGTTATGTTTTTGTTATGTTGTTGTTATGTTTTTGTTATGTTTTTGTTATGTTTTTGTTATGTTTTTGTTATGTTTTTGTTATGTTTTTGTTATGTTTTTGTTATGTTTTTGTTATGTTTTTGTTATGTTTTTGTTATGTTTTTGTTATGTTTTTGTTATGTTTTTGTTATGTTTTTGTTATGTTTTTGTTATGTTTTTGTTATGTTTTTGTTATGTTTTTGTTATGTTTTTGTTATGTTTTTGTTATGTTTTTGTTATGTTTTTGTTATGTTTTTGTTATGTTTTTGTTATGTTTTTGTTATGTTTTTGTTATGTTTTTGTTATGTTTTTGTTATGTTTTTGTTATGTTTTGTTATGTTTTTGTTATGTTTTATGTTATATATGTTTTCATTTTATTTCTCTTGTTATTTGTTTGAGAAAGCCTTAATTACTGAGTTATAGGCCCCTGTAGAAAGGTCATAGTGAGAAATACAATGAAATCCAGTGTTCTACTGAATATTTGTTCATGATTTTTTTTCTATTTTTTTGTAACATTATAAATGATCGATATTACAAGGAAATAATTGTAAACAAAGTTATAAATTGGAAAGAAAAATCGTGAAATATTTTTCACTATGACCTTCTTTCAGAGGCACATAACTCATTAATTAAGGCTTAACATATATTACATGCATATAAGCCAATGCTATAACTCTATTGTCTACACCCACATGGATATTAGCTTATCTACACACAGATTACAAAACGAAAAAGTATGCTATTGCCTTCAACTGAACGAATATATTTCATATCCATTCTAGGTAGTGAGAACATTGCAAAACAATGAAATCCACCAATCACAGTTCGTATTTTGGATACCCAACTACTAATATTTTAAAAATTTTAAATAAGTGACAATCTTGTCAAACTAATTGTCAGTATATTTTTTAATTATTAAGATTAAATAAACATTAAAATAAGTTATTTTTGTGTAGAATCGATAAATAATCGTAAATAATAGCATTTCTATTTTTATTTGAACCATTTAAAAAAAAATTAATTTAGTAAAGGGGCAGCCCTGATTCGAAAACATTCCTTATGTAAATTAACATGGGAAATCGTTAAGGTTCATTCTGCCAATTTTTGACGTTAATCTATACCACGTTCTCTACGTAATGTCGTTTTTCCTTGAATCGGACCACATGATACACGCTAAGGCCCTTGTGGCTTTACACATGATTTTTTCTTCTACGTTAATCGTTCTCTACGTAATGCCGTTTGTCCTGTTTGAATCGGACCAATAACAGTAAAGATACATGCTAAGGCCTTTCTGGCATGATTTTTCTATTCAACGTTAATCTATACCACGTTCTCTACATAACCACGTTTTTATAGTTTGGATCGGACCACGTGATACATGCTAAGGCCCTTTTAACATTGCACAAGATTTTTCTGTTCAACTTTAATCATTCTCTACGTGATGTCGTTTTTCCCATTTGAATTGGACCACGTGATACACGCTAAAGCCCTTGTGGCATTGCACAAGATTTTTCTCTTCAACGTTCATCATTCTCTACGTAATGCCGTTTTTCCCGTTTGAATCGGCCTAATAGCAGTGAAGATACGTGCTAAGGCCCTTTTGGCTTTACACATGTTTTTTCTATTTGACGTTAATCGTTCTCTACGTAATGTCGTTTTCCCCGTTTGAATCGGACCCACAATAGCTGAGATACACGGTAAGGCCCTTGTGGATTTGCGATCCGCGCAGAATTTTTCTTTTCAACGTTAATCGTTCTCTACGTAATGCCGTTTTTCTTGTTTAAATCGGACCAATAGCAGTGAAGATACGTGCTAAGGCCCTTTTGGCATGATTTTTCTGTTCGACGTTAAAGGAGATTTAATTTCCCCCCACTCCGCCGCTTTTCCCACTCCCCCTCGTGTCGATTCTATTCAACGTTGTACACTTCCCCATTTTTTTGTTCTATTCAATGACAGGTGACAGGTGCCGTCTTCTCATCCAGCTGGATGGTGCTGAGAGGTGGCGTGATATCTAGTTGACGGGTTGCGTCATCTCGTGGCGACTCTTGACTCCAGTTAGGTTAGGTTGGCGGCACTGTTGACTGTTCGATTGACAGCTGACAGTTGGCAACACTGGATTGTCAGCTGACAGTTGGAAACACTGATGACAGATGACACGACAATTGACAGCTGGCATCCTCGACTAATGACCTTGAAAGCGTCAAAAATTGGCAGAATGAACCTTAGCGATTTCCCATGGTAATTTACATAAGGAATGTTTTCGAATCAGTGCTGCCCCTTTACTTAATTTTAATCAAACTATTTTAATTGAAGACATAAGTGGATAAAGGTAGCATGTCACATTTTGTCAAAAAATGATTTTTATGGCATAATATACTTAAAATATACTTTATTTTTTGTTTGTGTAAATTTTGATTTTTAATTTTGATAAATAACAGCTATTGGTCTCATAAGAAGGTATAATGAGCCATATATCATAATGCAACTGTAAAACTTTAAACTTGTTTTTATCGAAATAATCTTTTTGTGATATGACACCTTTATCCACTCATGTCTTCAATTACGAGTATTAAAACCAAATTGTAAAAGTGGACGTAGAGGCATGGATAGAGTGCTTGACTTCCACGAGAAAAGCCGGGATCGATTCTCGGCTGGCAACTAACTTTTTTTTTCATATTTATTTTATTTTAGAAATCAGTAAAATTCATAAATTATTTTAAAATTAGGTATTTTGTCTTAATAACCTAAAATATTTTTTTAATTTGTAGATTTCCGTTAGTGGGTCGTAGAAAAAATATACTGTACAACTCGAGTGGATTGTCTATATCGCACATCAGACTCTTGAGCACTCCGCCTACGGCGTCATGCCCAAATTTCGTCTTCGTGCGATATGGCCATCATATCCACT